CTTTCTATGCGTCTCTTGCACCGTCAAATTTACGTTCCCTTCCCATCCTTTTCTTATAAGAATTAGGGTGGAAGGTAAAGGGACTAAAGTCGGTTCTTCGGCACCACGTAACTTATACGTCTGATGAACATTTATTCTTGAAATGCCTCTCGCATCAAATATTGGCTGTTCCGTTTAGAAATCTTTATTTTCTGCGAGTTGGAACAGTAAATGAAAATTATTTATTTAACTAGCTTTCACCCGTGACTCCGTCCGCGTGGTATAAAAAAAAACAAAAGTAAGTATGTATTCTTACAGACTATCCTTTACGTCTGTGCCAAATTTCATTGAGATCCGTTCAGCCAGTTCAGTTAGCTACAAACTAACAAATATCCATCTATCAATCTAAACTTTCGCATTTATAACATTAGTAAAATTAATCAGTTGTGCACGCAAATTGTCATATCGGTTACCAAACTCCTGTCATTCGAAGAGATGTCATTCGAAGAAGAAATACACGTAAAGTGTAATTTTTTAGGAACAGGATCAGAAATCGAAGAAATAGAAACACTAAAAACGACTTTTATGTATTAGTTTAAACTATTATTTTTAAACAACACAACATTGTATTCATTCTCACATTCAGATCATAGAATATTTAAATAAAATAAATTAGAGACACAGAAAGATGTAGACTTCGTTAAAAATCTTATTATTTATTGACTTCGTATAAACTGTGTAAAGGCAAAAGTGGCCGGTATTTAATTTTTTCATTCTCTGCCATTCTAAAAAAAAAATTAGTGAAACGTTCTAAATTCAAATTATGTTGCCTCTTTTATTTTGATAACCCTCTAATTCTTACCCGTATGGATGATTATCCCACGATATGTGCTTGTGTATCATTTCAAAACCGCGTTTTCTTGCTGGCAGGTCACAAATGGAGTCACCACGTCTAAAATAATTAATATCAATAATGAAAAAGTACAGTCACGGAAATCTACAGTGTTTTAATTACAGAAATGTTTCCTTATTTCTTGGATGGAGTCAAAGAGTTGCGCAAACTACGGAATAATAAAAATAAGTGTTGTACCACTGACAGATTTTTTTTCCTACACACATATAAAAGCTACTCCCTATTGGTATGATGCCGTGTTATTTTAAGCGTTATTTCAAGCAACTCTAGCTTTCAAGGTATAATACCGCCAGATTATCCGACTGTACTCGGCATTTTTCGCAGTTACAAATACTGTACATCTCGTAACTGTTTGAAACTACACTTGTTGCAAATATACCAATAGATATCTGGCTGGCTTATCAAGTGTTGAAGTTGCTTACCTTGTACTATTGTCGTTAAGAACACAATTTAAAAAGGCGCCATTGCATTGTGTACTTGTGAATAGATACGGTCCTTCGCATTGCGATGCGTTATTTACCCGGAATACGGACGCGACCCCGATAAGGTACTCTTTCCCACCGATCCATGTTACCAGTGGGCCTCCGTGATCGTTCTTAAAAAAATAAAATCGTCCAAATAAATTAATTGATGTTACTCTTCATATCGTATATCGTATATCGTTAGCCTACTAACGTTGGCTAATATTACTATTTAATATTATAAATGCGAAAGATGGATGTATGTTTTAGAGTTTGTAGCCTAAACTTTTGAACGGAACTCGATAAAATTTGGCATAGATGTAGAGCATAGTCTGGAAGACCACATAGGTTATATACCTTTTTATAATATCATGCTAAAGAAGTTGCGGGTGATAACCAGTAGGCTTTAATACTAATCATAGCCAAAAACGTATGGTCATCTTTGTTTCTTCTATACAGAATAAAAAGGACGATTTGCCATTTTGGCGGATTCAGGTGGTCGCTTGCTCGTTTGCCCCCTTATATTAAAAAAAAGGATGACTCTATTATGTATTATTGTTGGGGTTGTAGTGTCGGTACCTGTAAATAAACTGTCAATATTATACCTGATTTATATGTGCATAATTTGTGTCAGTCGGATTAAACACCTTGGCCTATACGCACGACTTTTATTTCGGACACCACATTGGCGACGAGGATAAAAATCAGTGCGGTTTTGTATTGTGCGGAGTGCATAATACGGACTCGAGTGTTTCGACGCAGTGTAAACGTTGTTGTAAACAATGTTTATGGCAAGTACGCTTTCGGTTAACGCGCGAAGCGGCGCGGTCGGCCATTGTTGCGGAGCGGCAACAGCGCACGGCGGAGCGGCCAGTGCGGCGATG